AGAAAATCTTTTAGATAAACAATTAATAAACATAAAACCGAAAGAAGAACTGAAGCCTCTTCTCGTCCTTCGATACGCGGGCTGCCCCAAGGCCACCCCGGGCCTTTCCAGGCCCTTCAAACAGCCGAAAACCAGACCGGCTGTTCATTGCTTTATGGAGATTTCCTTCCCATAGGAACTCCTCAGGCTCTTTGTGGAGAGCCTGGTGCAAGCGTGGCTTAAAGAAAGAGGCCATGAAGGGATTCAGCTAAGGGAAAAAAGCAGCCTTTCCCAGGCTTGATCCTGTAAATAATTAGGGTTCTCAGCCACCTTTTACATAAACAACAATATTCTCAGACCATTCTGTCCTTGGCTGCTACTGGGAACACTCTGGGAATAGATATGAAGGTTTTGAGAACCTTTAATATCATGGTGGGAACATTGATCTTGGTTTCAGTAAACTAACTTCAGGTATGGTAAACAAAAGGAGGAGCTGAAGCTTTCCCTACAGCCTGTCAGGAGCTCAGATTTTGCAATGTGCATGAAGTGAATTAACACTGTTATAAAAATTGATTGATGAATAAATCGGAGTCAGATGCGAAAGCAGCAAAGGCGGTCGCTGCCTCACTTCAACATCTCTTGCAGCAGCAGTGGTTGGTGTGAGGGAGTTTCCCATGAAAAGACAGGTTTGTGGAAGAGCTGTGAGCAGATGGCTCCATCCTCTTGTGATTTGTGTCACGTTTGCTCTTTGAAAGTACCAAGTCCTTTGATGATGCCTTTAGAGAACTGTACATAGACAAATCACCTTAACCTGTGATTTCTGTACAAAGCCCTCTCTTTGTCAGATGTGCTGCTAACAGGCCCTGGTGTTCCTTTTGGCTTATCTCCCAGAAGCAATATTAAGGATTTTGTATATGCCAAGCTCTGCAAATACGTGTTTCTTATTTTGTGAATGAAAAATGTCAGTTCTGAGGTGCTGAGATTCGGCACTCTGCTTTTGGGCAAAGCTGAAGGGGAGATGGGTTTTCTCATTCATGTATTGAAAAATAATATGACAGAATTGGATTGATGAGGTTCTCTCTGATGCCTAGTGACTGGAGTGTATGTTAAATTTACTGCAATTCTGCCCTTGAAATAAGTTGCTTTATTGAGAAATTCTGTTTGGCATTCTTCAGGGCGAGAGAGGGAATGGGAAAATGAGATGATCAGGTTTGTTTATATTGTTTGTGACTAAGTGGCAAACATCCTTGCACTGCATAATAATTTTTCAGATAGTTGGTAATCTTGTAAACTCTTCCGTGACATTAGATGAATTCATTGCTGCCTAGATCTTTTTTTAGATAAATATATTTAAGTCAGTATTTTTTTTTGCAACACAGTAAGGAAAACAATCAGTAAATCTTCACTGTACAGTTTCTGTGTTGCATGCAGTGCTGTAAACCTGAAAATTGCTGTATTTATTTGCTTTGCAGTTCTGGAAAATTACAAATTTGGTACTTTTGGTACTCAGTGCTTTCCTTCTGGCCCCTCCACAGTGTTGTCTTCACTGGTGGGTTTTTTCTTGGCAGTTTCTACAGGGACATAGGTGGGACACTGCAGGTTTTGGATTTTTTTTCATTCAAGAGCTCTAAAAAGATTGTGTTTATTGAAATTTTAAAATTTTGTTTATCATTAACATGATTTAGAATGCTAATTAGAAGCTGGAAATTAAGCTTTCCTGGTGGTTTTGGTGCTCTGATTTTGCCCCACCAGAGCTCCACCCATCTCTGAGAACTGTGAATAAAATCCTAAACTCCGCATTAGGAAAATCATCTTTTGGAGGTTTCGGGTGTGCCGTGTGCTGAGTCTGAGTCTCGTGGGTTGGTGTCTCTGTGAAATTGTGCTGTGTCTTCATTCCCTGCACTCCAGTCCCTTTGCATTCCAGTGTGGGAATAAACCTTGGAAGCAGGTTAAGGGTGTTGTGTTCATTTTTTGGGGAATCCAAAGGATTCTGGCCTTTGAAACCCCTGTGCTTTGCTGTGTCTTCCATTTGCAGCAGCACTTGACAAACAGGAGCAGTGAATCCAGGCTGATGATTCCTAGATGTGATGTGGTTTTGATAATTCTTGGTGATTAAAGGAACGCTGGTAATGACAGCAGTGGCCTTCTTCATTTTCCTCCTTTAGAAACTGCTAAGCAACTTCTCTGAGAGCTGTGATTAACATTTATTTTACCTCAGCCAGGGTGGGTTTTCCCCTCGATGGTGTTATGATTCAGTAACACAACGAGATATTTATAAAAAGAAGAATACAATTACATGCATCTGAATAGACGGTTACATTCGGTAGTGCTAATTAAAATAAATTAATTTCTGCTGCAGCATCAGCCTGTGTAATCTCCTGTGATTGATTCTGGGTGTCCTTTCAGTGCTGGAGTTTCACAGTGGAC